ATCTGAAGAAGGCCAATGACCAAATGTTGTGAATATGACAATAAAAATGTGGACAACAGTTTGAACAATGTAAATAGTGTAAATAGTTACAATACCTCATCTCAGACATACCTTTATTTGAATATTGTTTTCCATTCTCTTATACATTTTTAATGATGAATTACAACTTTTCTATTGGATTAATATCTGGGGAGCCATTCCATTAATTTGGTGTCTTTGAAATTTTCTTTTTGACAGAATGGGCTTTGCATAGCATAAAAGAGCATTGTTTTGCATAAATATACTATTTAACATCTTTGTTTTCAAAATATTACAGAACTTCTCTGCATTTATCTTGATAAGTGAAAGGGCTTATTTTACTGCCCACAATAGCCACCTAAAATATGATATCATTTCCCCACTATTGTCTTCTAAGATATGTTGAATATTTTATTTTTTTTTTTTTTTTTTAAATCATTTCACCCAAAGACGTAAGGGGCTACTGAGTATTAGAGAATATGAGAAAAATATACTATTAAGAAGAGAGAACAATAAAAGAGCAAGAAGACAGAAACTAACAATTGACATTATATTTAAATTTCTGAAGATCAAATTTGACAGGGAAGTAAGAAGCTAGAAGAGAGTTCCACAAGCAGGAAGTGCAATAGAAGAAACTTTTAACATAGAACTTACGGTTACATCTAGCGGCCATTTCAACTGTAAAATGATGAGACTTCACTGCCAATCTAGGACTGTGCTTAAATTCATGAAGACTAGGTACCATAGAAGAAAGCTCATCAGAACTTTACATGAAAGTTATTCCCTCATCCAGTGAACAGGTTTAACCTATGTAGCTCTCATTCATCTCTAAAAAATTACTGATGAAAATTCAGTTTCCATGAAATTCCTTGCCCAGCCTAGGTTTTTCTCTTTATGACATTATAGTTTGGTTGATTTTATATGTTCCTAATAATGAGTATTTTTTTCTGTTTATATTTGCAACAAATATTTTCAAATGTGTTTTTGCTGGTCAATCCGCATTTCTTTACCCACCTTTTATTTTTTTCCCCACCTAATTGTTTTTGCGATGGTCTGAAAAGCTAGTTTATTTTCATGTTCTTACCTTACCAATGTGTTCAATTACTTTTCTGATTGTTCTACATAAATGTTTGCAGTTTCCAATCTTATGTTCCTATCACTCAATGACTTTAAACATCTTGTTCCTAATTCATGGTTATCTCTTTCTTACAACCCACAGCAATATTCATACATCTGAAATTTTGAAAAATGAAATATCCATAAATAAATTATGATATTTATTTACAAATTTGATAAACAACCTTGAATTTACATAAAATCTCACACCACTATAGATGCACATATATAGCCATTTTTTTTGTTGTTGAGGTGGGCCATAATTAATCTCATACATTGCAAGAGGAGTCCAGCCTGACAGAGGATCTCCGTCAATGATTTGAGGCAAAGTTTTACTAAGCCAGAAGGTCTTTCTGATGCCCAAATCAGACACTCGTGATAGTCAAAGTACACAGTGTTTCAAAAAACCATGTCTCAGAAGGTTACCATTCAAGGCTTGTGACACCCTCTTAGCTCTGTGTGCATATATATATATATATATATATATATATATATATATATATATATATATATATATATATATGTGTGTGTAAAACTTTTACATGTTATTTTTAGTAGATACTCAGTTTATTTATTAAACAGTATATTTATTTTCATCTGCTGGCCTGAATATTTGAGAAATATTATTAAAGAAAAATATGCACTATCTGAATATTTCTTCAGAATGTCTACTCAAATATAAGTATCCACTAAAAATAAGGTTTAAAGTGATAAAAAAAATTTGTCAGATTTGACAGGTCTTTTTTTTTTTTGTCCTTTGGGGTGTCATGCCACCCTCCTAACCAACAGAAAAGCTAGTCAATGCCAACCACCTGTCCATGCAGCAGGTTGTACTGGGTTACATGTGACAAATAGCAGTCCTAAGCCTGACCTGAAAAATAATAAGCAAAGTTATTGCTAATATTTCTAATAAAACAGAAAATCGGAAATTCATCAATACATTTATCCTGAAATTTTTTACAAACTTCAATTTTATTGTGAAAACACTAACTTGTGTCATAAGATTTGAAAAAAATATGAAACATGCAAAAAACATCAAAATTAGAACATGTTTAACAAGGCCTGTTCACATGAATATTAATTTGCTTCTGTTCAATAGCCAATCAGATAACCTGTATGTTAATAGAAAGAGAACAGGATAAAGTAGTTAAAAAAGACAACAATAATATAAAATAACCAAGCAACTAAGCTGTTTATATTGATTTATAAGTTTCATTTATTTCTTCTTAACCCATTGACAAGTATAGCAAGGAGAAAAACAATTTTTTTTAATCATTTCATCTTCAAGCAAGGTGATAGCAACACTAAGATGCAAGGGGCTCTTGAAAGTGAAAGAGAATGAGAAGATTTCAGGAGAAAGTAGTGGAAAACCTAATCCTGAATTGAAAACAAGGGATAAACCTCTACTCCTGTTCAAAAAAACAGGGAGGGGTGTGAACCAGGTGAACCTATGCACTCCTGTTGGAGAGAAGGAAGAGAAAAAAAAATAAAGTAAAAAAAATACATAAATAGTAAATTAAATTCCAGAGTTTAGATGTTACAAGTATAGAGTTGAAGTATATTTTAGAAGGAACTGGAAACAACAATCTTAAACAGGAAACAAGGGATAAACCTCTACTCCTGTTCAAAAGACATGAAAGGTGTGCATGAACCAGGTGCTAACCTCAATTTTATAGTTTTCCTACATTTTAAGTCTATAGGTCATTTAAAACCAAAATACATTTTGGATTGTAAAAATAATTTACTTTATTTTTTTTTTTATGAGTGAATATTGTGTTAATTTTTTTCTTCTAGATAATTATTTTTCCAGGTACAGGCCCTATTTAACCCATAGTTGGGGGTAGAGATGGATTCATACCTTTCCCAATGTGATTTGCACTAAAGTGAATGTAACACACACAACTGAAATTTGAACTCTACTTTTTGATTTCTCATTCTGAGCAACACCATACATCATGTCAGTGGATTTAATATTTAAAAAAAAAAAAAAAAAAAAAAAAAAAGAAAAAAAGAAAAAAAAAAAGAAAAAAGAAAAAGAAAAAAAGAAAAAAAAAAAAAGAAAAAAAGAAAAAAAAAAAAAAAAAAAAAGAAAAAAAGAAAAAAAGAGAAAAAGAAAAAAAGAAAAAAAGAAAAAAAAAAAAGAAAAAAAGAAAAAGAAAAAAAGAAAAAGAAAAAAAGAAAAAGAAAAAAAAAAGAATCTGCAATGCTATTGGACTTGACATCTTAGGTTCAGTCACTTTCCCACCGTTATAACATAGCTTCCATATACCTTTTCTATAACTATTTCCATGGTAATTGTTCTGATGAACTTCTAAGGTACATAGACTTTATGAATTTAAACACAGCACTAGATTGGCAGAAAAGTCATCATTTTACAGTTGAAATTGCTAGATGTATCCGAGTTCTATGCTAACAGTTTCTTTACTCAAACTTATCACTTGTGTAACTGACTTTTTGCTTCCCAGTCAGTTGGTATGTCAAAAGAATGATCCCCTACTCCCCGCCCCCGGACACTGCTATTATTTTAACTACCTTCACTCCTTGGCAAGGTTTTAAAAAAGGTTAGAATTTTAATAAAATCTAAACATGTGAAACTGAATTTATACATTTTTGTTTTGAGAATTTACATTTTATTTGTTAAATTGTTTATTGGAATGGTTGATAAAACATTTGCTAATTCACATATTTTAATAATTTAGTAAATTTTTTTTTTTTTTTTTTAAATTAATTCATCCCAAGCAAGGCAATAATGCCTCTAAGATGCAAGGAGCTACCAGGCGTGGCAGAGAAGGAAAAAGTATTTAGAAGGAACTGGAAACCCAATCCAAAACAGAAAAGGGATAAACCTGTACTCCTGTTCAAAAGGCCAGAGAGGAGTGTGAAGTGGATGATATGAATAAAAAATTGTTTTCATATTTATTTCTTTATAAATTGTATTAGTATTGCATTAGTTTTAATCCAATTGTATTAAGTTTTAGAAAGTTGTAAATGGGTATGAATTTCTGGGTATTATAAACCTAATGTTTTCAGCAACCATTTTTTACCAGTGCTCATATTGCTGTTATCATTGCATGTTTTTATCAGAGCCCATATTGCAACTTTGTTATCATTGCTTTTCTCTGGCACTCCTTATTACTGGTTCCCATATTGTATTTATTTCTATGCTTGGTCGGCTCAGGAGATTTTTGTGGCCTAGCATATGTGCTGATCCCTTAAGTTTACGAATTTTCCAATGGTGTTCCCTGTCTATGATCTCAACATGATGCCACAGGGGATGGCGATCTCCCTTCTCTCTCCATATGTGGTCAGCCACGCCTGATTTTTCTACTTCCCCTCACAGCTTTCTGGTGTTCTTGAAGCCTTACCTTGAGGGGGCGGCCTGTCTCTCCTTTATATTCCTTTCCGCAGCTGCACGGGATAGCGTACACACAGTCTTTAGTGGGGGGTCTCACTCGAGAGAGATATCTGCGAAGAGTTGTCACGCTTCTGAAGGTTGTCCTGATGTTATATGGACTGCAGATCCTTTGTATTTTCTCTGATAACCCCTTCACATAATAAATATATATATATATATATATATATATATATATATATATGTGTGTGTGTGTGTGTTTAAGGCTTCCGTGGTTGGTTTGTTGTTTTGTGACATATCAACCTCTATAGGTAATTTAATGCTGAAATCTAAATATTTTGCATGCAATTTTATTTTATTTTTTTTAGATATAATAATGGTTTAATTACACAAGTTTCATTAATTAACCAATAGCTGGGAGGAGAGGCGATAGATTCATACCTCCCCAGGGGTATTCATGTGCAAGTGAATATAACAACAAGTCTGACCCATTATCCCACGCACACATCCAAACTTACAACACCTGGTATTCCTTAGTGGTTACCCATCCATTTACTGACCAGGCTCAGTGATGCTTAACTTCACTGATCATACAGAAACTGGTGTTTCAATGTGATGTGGTTGCAAGCCCTGCTCCTAGTGTGTGTGTGCGTGTTTTTAAATTAGTATACAGAAACCCCAACAGAGATTTTAAATTTTGACAAATGAAAATGTTTTATGAAATAGATTTGATTGAAAATAGATTTAATAATGCATTTTGCAATTCAAGGCTTCATCAAATCTGAAAACAAAAGAATGAAATCTGTGTATGTGTATAATAATGAATCTTATTACTTTTTCCCTAAGCTGGCATTTCTCAAGATTAAAGAAAATGAATAACTTTTAAAAAAAGTTGTTAATATTTATTTTGTATCTTTTCTTTACAATTCTTAGTTCAAGTTGAAAGTTGTTAATGTATTTTCCCAGCTTTTTCTGTATTAAATTAAAAGGAAAATCCTCTTCTCATTATCAGAATAGCTCAAATGTAAGAAATTCATTTAGCCATTTCTGAAATAAATCCAAAGCAAATTGTTATACGATCCTTCAGAATGGGTCGAAAGTAAGATTTTTTTTTTTGTTCTATCCAGGTTTTCCATGTCAACAATGTTTTTAAATTAGGATATAGAAATCCTGACAAAGTTTTATAAATTTTGACAAAATCTTTCACAAAATTGATTTGTGAATGTATTTTGCCATTAGGGTCATAAATAACGGCCCCAATTCATCAGACCTTCAAAATCCAAAATAATTTTGGATTTGAAGGTCTGATGAATTGGATCTGTTCTTACAACCCTAATGAAATAAATTAGTAGCTCATGAAGTTTTAGTGTTGGTGCCTTATATAATAATAATTATTGCTCTGTTTCTAACAGATCTCCCTGAATTTATATCCTTTTGTAAATATCCATGCTGATCATTAATATATATTAAACATTGTTAAATGATGGACAAGGAAAATTTTAATTTTTTTTTTTTTCTTCCCCTAGCATTCTTACATTTTTTTTTATTTGATGGGAGTGAGGGAATACAAAAACTGTCCATATAGTCTAGGTGCTTTCAGTAACTTCCTTATGCATTTTCAAGGGGGTTTTGTTTTAGTGGTGTTAGTTTCTTTTCATGTTTTGACTGTGTGAGATGTATTATTTGTGTGGTATTTGAATAATGGTGGGAGCATTTATTCTGAGCCTTCACATGTTGGGCATGGTTGGAATTGAAGTTAGTGGACATATATATATATATATATATATATATATATATATATGTGTGTGTATGTGCGCGCGCGCACACACACACGTGATCAACAAAATTATAAGAAGTGTCCATAAAATGCTCCACCTCTTTTAAAACTAGAGACTGAATATACAATTGAAAACTAATTTTTTTTTTTTTTTTATGGAAACTTTTACACAAAGCCAATTTAATACATCAATGAAAAATTTTATTTTGCACAAAATCTAATATAAATTCATAGCATAATGAGTTTTGTAAATATTTTGTCTTTCTATGACATACCACCTTCTCCCAACTCAATTCTGTATTTTTTCCAAAAAATTCCAGTTTTGATTTAATGAATTTGGGGATTTTTTTTTTCTTTGATATCATACAACATCTGGTATTCAAAAGTGGTCACCCATCTAGGCACTGACCAGGTTAGACATTGCCTAAGTCTGCTTATAAATTCACGTGTTTTAAATTTATATGTCTTATGGCTTCAGGGCATTGCTGAAATGTGATGCAGGCCTAAATGATAAAAATTTACACAAAAAACTATGTAGCAAAATAACTATTAAAATTCTTTTGGTTCAACTTCCCAACACAAGATAGAAATGAGGAGGAGTAAAGTGTAAGCCTCCTTGAAGTGCCAGCATGTTAGTATCATTTAACACTTGAGAGGAATTTGAACTGTAGACTGGCTTAAACAACTATCAATACTAGTTACACTTTTTTTTTCTTTTAACATAAAAAAAAAAAAAGTATATTTAATGCTTTTTTTTTATTTTTTTTTAACTTCCCCTAATAGTATGAACACAAGAAAATTAGTCTGGTATGTCTCATGTAAAAACTAGGGTTTTTTCTACCAAATTACTTAATCTTTCTCTTAAACAAACCTCTTAGTTTATTAAGATTTATTAAAGTCTAATGAGCTTTTAATTAATAATTAAAAGTCATAAGATTAAAAGGTAAAAAATAACTGTTGTGATTTTAGAGACCTTAAAATTGGAATGCTTTTTGATTTCTGAATATATTATTGGATAATTGTCACGTTCCTTTACATAGCAATCAGAAATCATGAAAAGCCAGCATTAGAGAAATATAAGCAAACTAAAACAGCAAGACAGCAATTTCTTTACAAAATCCACGCCCACCCACGCATATCAATAATTTCACTCCAAGCAAGGCAATAAAGCCACGAAGGTGCAAAGGGTTATTGAGTGTGAAACAATGAGAAAAAAAAAAAAAAAAATTAAATAAAAAAAAAAAAAACAGCAATTAAGACAGAAGATAACGATTGACACTGCATTTAAATTTTTGAAGATCAAAGTTGACTCGAAAGCAAGAAGTTGGAAAAGAATTCCACAAACGAGAATTGTAAGTGGAAAAACTATTAGCATAGAACTTATGATTACATCTATTTCAACTGTAAAACTATGAGACCTAGCTGCCAATCTAGTATCAAGTTTAAAGTCATAAAGTCGAGATATCAAAGAGGAAAATTTCCACAGAGTCAAAGTCTTCACTGATTGAACTTACAATTACTCAGACACCAAATTCACAAACCAACACTTTAGTCTGCTAGGATATTGTACCATGGGACAATCCTTGGTGTAGAACTTGTATCTACAAACCTAATCTGCCTGGTGCTGTTTATCACACTTGACTGCACTTACCAAAGCTTCCCTTTTCTTACTGCTACTGAAACCTTTCTGTCAATTCTTTCTTTATTTCCATGCTAGGCCAACTAATGTTGTTCCTATCAGAGGGAGGAAAAAAAAAAAAACAAACAAAACTGGTGAGACTGAGAAGTGGCTCAGTACCATCTCCATATATATCTGCTGTGCACCAATAGCTTAGGGGTAGGATCTCCAACTGATGCCAAATTGGTAGGGTTTCAATCCTGGATTGAAGCAACCAGATGTCTAGCCATACTGATAAGCTGTGATACAGCAAAACAGGCCTGTATGTGAATGACCATATTAATAAAAAGCTCTTGTCTATTCGATCAAGCACTATTGAGAAAAATGATAATTCCAAAACAGTAGCCACCAACACTATTAATGCAGTGCTCTTCATCAATGAATCGAGCATTGTTGGCTACTGCTGTTTGTTTACTTCCATAAAACAATACATTAGAATTTCCCTTTCTCTCTGCCATGCACCGATAGCTTAGAGGTAGGATCTGATTGATGCCAAATCAGTAGGGTTTCGATCACAGCTTGAAGCAACCGGATGTCTAGTGTCACTGATGAGCTGTGATACAGAGAAACAGGTCTGTATGTGGATGACCATATTAATAATATATATATATATATATTATATATATAATTATATATATCGCAATTGATGATTATTAGGGATAATTCAATGTAAGAACCAATCAATATAATAATGAATACAGAATCCTTAAAAATCCATCAGGTCAGGTTATAATTTATTTTATGGACATCACATCTATCTTTTCAGACCAGATTTCCATTAATAAATGGAGTTCAATTTATTCAGTCAAAAGAAAAAGAAAGAAAAAAAAAAAGAGAGAGACCCCTTTTTTTTCCGTTCTCCCTTTTAATATTAAAAGTTTTTCCTTTTTCTCTTTTCCCTTCCTTGTGTCTGAGTAAATTGAACTCCATTTATTAATGTAAAACTGGCCTGAAGAGATATGTATTTTCTGAGGGCCAGATGGTTTGTGTGAAAATTGTTGCATTTTTTTATGGCCTTAGCTGATCAAGTAGTAAATTATTTGTTAAGTTGTTGTGGATCCATTTTTGAATCCTTGGAGAAAGGTTTCTATCTGCTAGCCAATGAGGGAGGAGATCTCTTCAAGTCCTTGTGAAAACTTGAAGTGAGTTGGTATGACACTCCTTTTTCAATAAAAAAGACTGCTATGAGCAGATAAATGCAGAAAGAAGGAACTGTTGTCATGAAAGCAATTAACGGTTGAAGAAGAAGGCATTAGCACCCTTGCTTCAAAAGGACTGGTCCAACTGAGGGAGTCATAAATCATTGGTGGGTTGAGGAGAGAAAGAGCTGATAGATTAAAACCCCAGAACAGAATATTCCTTTCTATGCCTTCCTGAAAAGAATTTAAACCAAAAGAACTTTCTTTCAACTCTCTAGCAAAATACGTTTTATGCTATCGAATGATCAATAAAAGTTCTAATAACTGAAATATAACCATTTATTTTGTGGCTGTTAATTAGATTTGTAAATATCATAATCAATGTTGTTTGCAGATGAATGAATTTCAATTTGATAAAACAATTGGAATACATAATAAACCTGTATTTTCCTGTGGATTTACAACATGCCCTATTTCATTACTTTATTCTGTATCCTAAATTGGTATTATTGAAAATTCAAAGAAATAATTATGGAGTTAATTGTTGATAATTTCAACTGCTAAGTCAAAAATCAACTAAAAATATTTTTTCTAATTCAAATGTTCTTTGTAGAATAATCAACAGAGCAAGAAATTCCAAATCAAATCACATGCACCCGACATTCTCCTTATTCACTACCACCCCACCCCACCCTGGTTTGCGTGATACTCACTACCAGATGGATTGTGTCCTCTTAATGAATTGGCTGTTTAGGGAAACCATGATTGATTAGCACAGGTGGCAGTGTTTGTGCTGACTAATTTGCAAGCCTTTGATATGTGGGACAACTAACAACTGAACAGTGAATACAGGTAGCCAGTCATTTTTGGCTGTCAGTGAACATGACAGAGATATAAAAGATTAGTGATTTTTAATTTGTGGATACATTTAATATATGTAATTAATAAACCTATATTTTCCAGTAGAATTAAAACTGGGTCTATTTCAGAAAAAAAAAAAAAAAAAAAGAAGCATTTTGACCTTGTGTATACA